CTTCAACATCCTTCCATCTACTTCTTTCTTATTGGAGCCCATAATGATATTCTTTTTTGCAGATAAGAGTTGTTCTGCTTCAAGCTCTCTGCTAGAACAGTTGTGCCTTTATGGTGAGAATATTAATGCAGAATTCTTAGGACAATGGCCCCTATTCAATAGGAAAGATCCCAAAATACAGTTCCTGGAGTGAAAAAAAGCCATAGTCTGTAGGCAATGGAAGGAATAGAAATAAGTTATTAAAGTCTATGCCTGCATTTCATTTAAAAAAAAATTATTCAAAGATTTTTTTCTCTCTCTCTTTTCTTTCTTTCTTTTTTTTTTTTTGATTCTGTGGAACCACGTGTTTATCATGTTTATAATTTCTAGATAGGTATTTCTTTTCCCACCAGCTGAATTTAAAAAAATGCTGTCTTACCTATCCAGTTTCTATCTAGCAGTATCCTTTCAGCCAAAGATGATGTGGCTTTCAGCATCTCAGATTTTCTCAGGTCTCTTCCAGTTCAGGTGCTCTTTGATATTTTTCAGAAACTGCTGCTCACATATCAGGACCCTGACCACAGTGAACCATGCATGTAATGGTATACACAGAACTGAAACAAAGACAAGAAAGTTATCACAATAAATTAACCTACTCAAACCAAGAGTTTTGCAGGGGGGTTGGGTTATACCCTAAACCAATAATCTTTGTAAATTATGCCTAGGAGAGTTGCCTTTTGCTTTAAAAATACCTGCAAAGCTGCCCTGTAAGTGCTGGACAAAGCGCTTAGGTTTAGTAAGCATGGCTCACCAGACTGACAATAGAGATTTCAGTACTGGAACTTAAAAATTGCTCATGAGGAACATAGCATTATTTGGTATCAAATATTCATAGGCTGAGAGGCTTTTATATATCATTGTTTCCCAGAGCACCTGTTCAGATGTGAAGAGACAGTTTCAAAATGGAATGATGAAACTTAAATTACAGAATTTCTGTTCTGTAGTCTCAGATGTCTGTTGTGTGTGCTGGCATGTGTTATCATTACTTGCTATAATAATCACTGTAGCTATGTTATAATACTCTTCAGAGGTCAGGAGCTATTCTGAAATTGGATTTATTTATTCATTTTAACTCTTATAAACTGACTTATTTCCAACACCGGGACATATGTCATTTATGTCTGTAAATCAAATGCGCTAAAGCCACATTCTAGGCTGGTGTAAATCAAGGCAGGTTCACTTAGGACCAGATCAGCACAGAAGCTGAGAATCTGGTCTTCAAACCTCAATAAAATACTCTACAGTGGAACACGGCCTTGATTTGCAATCATCGCTTAGAAATTATGGAGGAATTTCCCATAGCTATCTTGATTCAGACTCGGTATCTGCTGGTCATTTAAACAGCAATTGCTGTGTTGCTCTATCTAATGTTTTATTCTCATCTCTTCTTTGCCATATTTCTCAGATCCTGCAAACTTTCTTCTGAGGCTTTCTGGCTCACTTTCAACAATGGAAGTCAGCCTACTGTTGCTAAATGTCAGCCACACAACTACCCACGCAAGGACTCAGCACCTCCCCTCCCTCTGTCTGTCTCCTTTTTCCATGTGGTGAATGACAGGTTTTCAGGAAAAGCACAGCAGGTACTGGCGCTCTCTTTTGTCTCTCAGTGAGCTTCCAGAACCTCCTAATACTGAACAAATGTAATATTTCCCTAGAATACCCTCTTCACCTACTTTCCAGTATAAACTAAATCAAGGGATTGACAACATCTGACAAATCATTATTTTCATCAGGCTTTTAACTAAGGCAAAACCTTGCCCTGGAGTGAGTGAGTGTTTCCTGTTACCATGCCTGAGCTCTCTGTGAGGTTTGATCCCAAAGGAGAACACTGCCCCACTTTGTATCATAGCTGCAGGAGGGACTTGGCTTAACTAAAACAACCTGAGACAGCTTTAAATTAACTGCTTGGGATTCAGTACCGTAGTAACTGCAAAATCACCGAGCAAAGCATGGACTGGAAAGCCCATTTGGGGTTTGGATGAGACAGGCAGCTAGACTGCCTGTTTTCAGAATGCTTTTTAACAGACTTCGTCAATACCTTGATAGTAGAACCTAGCTTGGATAGAGCTGAGACATACCTTTGGCTGCAGTCTTGTCATATCATCTACAGCCTAGTTTTAAGAAGCAGCTGGTTTGCAACTTCTGGACATGCCTGAAATAGGATCTAACCATCCTTAACGTATCAGGTTACCCTATTGGTTTTTGTAATGTAACAGTAAGAGCCAAAGACTAATGAAGGATCTGGTTATCAAATGTACAAGAAAATTTAAGCTTTACCTGGATTTTCAGGTGAGCAGGGATAAAACTATGAAGTAGATCAGTATGCTTTGTCTTTGCTGCAGTTACATGTGTAATGTTTCATGGTGATTATCCCAAGAAAAAAAATGTGTATTGCAGGAAATATGCAGGAATACTGGTAGGAAATCTCCTCCTAATTTGATCATTTTTCTTCTTATTCAGATTTATTGCGCTGAGAAGGTGTTCAGGATTCCTCTAGTCATGTAATCTAGAAATTTTCTGTCATGTGGAGCTCTTAAGATCATTATTTCAGAGATTTCACCCTTTAATAGAACATTGCTGTTCATTTACTTAATGGACTGATTACTGTCGTGAAACAAAGAAATGCCTTAATCAGGTATTCAGACTTTAAATTTCATCCCTGCAACCTTGCATGTGAGTATGAGGCATGCCATCTCTTCAAATAAGGTTATAACGTTTATGATGACTGGGGTTTGTAGAAGGATTTCCACCGAGTTAATCGGATACCTGTCTGACTTTGCTAACAGATTCACTTGCAGATTGATTGGAATGTAAGATTTATTTAGTGTCTTCCAAATCACTTTGCTAGACACCCTTGTATTTTTACCCTTTTTTCACCTTGAAATATTGTGCTATGTTTTTAATATGGTGCCTAACAGAACAATAGAGTAGTGATCCCGTATTGCTTCCTCACAACATTGTTAAAAAGCATAAGTTAAAATGTAAGAGATACATAGAAGAAAATGTCTTTATTGAAATCAAGCTTAGAGGAAAAACACTCTTCTGGAATCCAGTTTGTGTTTTCACAGTTATATCACTACCTCAGGAAGCTGATTTTTTGATTTTTAGATGAGAAAGTGAGCATCTACCAAAAAGTGTAGGCAAGTGAGCCCTAAAGTTTATTCAGATAGTATTACTAGTATAAAGTAGATGTGAAAGTGCTACCATGCATTTTCTTTGAGGCTTACATCTGATATACTTGAAATAATGTGTTTCTCTTCAATGCACTGCAGAAAGAATCATGCACTGGGTCTAGAAGGCTAGGTGTTTACAACAAACAGGAGAGTCATGTCTTCTGTGAGAGGTTAACGCTGGGAACGGAAAAAACGTAGGTTAAGGTTGTATCTTCTAACTGGTTAGGTGTTAAAGACCAAGATTTGGAACAAGTCAATGACTGTATTTTTCCATTAGCTTGAATACCTAAAATGTTTAAGATAAAGTTCATTCATTTCAGTAGCTTCAATTACCTGAACTGATACGAGAGTCTTTATTTTTTCCTGTAGCACATAGTAAATATTATCTTCACCGTTCACAGTGAGCCAGAATTTCTGATTTTGAGTAATTTGTTCCAGTATCTGAAATTATTGTTTATGCCAGACAAGGAATAAGGAAATTTTGTTTGGAATTTCTTACAGATTTTGCATGCTGTAATTCTCTGATCTACTTCTATTGTTTCAGTTATTTTAATTGTTTTTGCTAACACTTATATCCTGTACAACCTCTAAGAGGAATGTAGCTATTTTAAGAATATACATAAAAGCTGGCAATTACATTGTCTTATCAAGTTTTTGCAGCCTATTAAGTTGTTCAGTGCTACTGGAAATGATTAGACTCAATATTGTAGGAAAGAGACTCTAAAACTGTAGCCTGGGCTTTTAAAGCTGTGATATCTTGGAAAATTCTGCCTGTTTAGTAGGTTTAGAAAACACTGGCAAGGATAAATACATCCAAGGTGGAATTCAAAATGTGCACAGGTTTTAATAAAAGCAACCATTCATTAAATACTTTTAGCCATGGAAGGCGGAAAGAAGATTGGGTAGACATCCAGTGAAGTTAGGGGAAGCTCGTAAGTGATGTTCCTCTGCTTTGTAAGAGAAGAGAGGAGCGGCCTGGGTTACCCTCACTGTGGTGAGCTGGTGATGATGGTTGCAGGGATGATTCGGAGGACACAAGAACATCAGTGGCTTTTAGAGCTGCCAGGACACAAGAACATCAGTGGCTTTTAGAGCTGCCAGTGACTGTAAAGGAAAGCAACTCTGGAAGGACTGCCGTTGTCCTTTTGTACAGGCTTGACTGGCAGGCAGTCAGCACGGTCCTGAGCTCAACCCTGGATAACGGGCCGACAAGCTCCGGTGCCAGGACAGGGAAAGGCTGCGCTTCTGCTCTAGGGCAGAAGCAGAAACTGAACTTTGGTAGCTTGCTTTCTTCTCCATTTCTCATCTCCAATCTGATCTTGAGTGGGCTTAGCTCAGCTATTTACCGCTAAGGGATTTCTTGGCCACACGAACGCACAAGGAGTAAGTGGAAAATTCAGGAAAGAAAAATACTTTTACAAGCCAATCAAATTTAAAAAGAGACATTCCTTTAGCCAAAAAGAAACCGCAAGCCAAACCCCAAAGGGTTTACCATGAAAAGAAATGGACTGGTTTGCAGAAGAGGCTCTGACATCAAAATAAACAAAGCTATACAAGCTGCAAAAATATGAAGCAAAGAGAACCATTATGCATAAAAAGAACAAAAGGCAATGCATTATCCGTGTGTTTGGCAGTAGTGGGAGAAAGGACAGCTAGTATGACTGCAGGGACAGATGAATAACTATCAGTTCGCCTTTCAGTTTTATCAGTGCCTGAACGGCTTGGAGCTTTTCATCTGTACTGCTCCCAAGTTTAATATTTCTCTTTTATTTTCTCTCTCTCTTTTTTAAAATTAGATGTGTTGTTTCTGCCACATTCTACTGAACGATGCTGGAATTCTGCACAAAAAGGAATACGTTTCTTCAGGGAGGTAGAACTGTAAGTGTGCAGGATGTGAAGGAGCTCAGGTTAATATGCTGATCCTGATCCACTAAAGTATTTGCCTGCAGAATGGAAAAACTTTGTAGTTTGTAATGTTCTAGTGGCAAAATAAACTACTCAAGAAGTTAGAGACACATGTTGGACAGCTGCTGCAAGTCAGCCCAGCATGAGGGTGGAGCAGTCTGTGTATACTCTCTGAATAGCTATTATATTGCCAGAGTCCAAAAACTATAAAAAGTTGGATATTGGTTTGAGCTGAAAATTTTCTTTGCCTAAATTAGTCTTCCCAGATGCTACAAAATAATTCGGTGAAGATAAATAATGTACAGAAAGATAATTCTGAAAGAACTTTACACTAAATTACTTTCAAATGTGTGTATATCTATATATATATATATATATATATGAACTTAACCAAACATTTACAGTCTCTTTCCTCTTTAAATACTTCTGAGTTTTCTCAGAGAAACCTTCATTATGATTAATTATTGTCAAAGACTTGCTCTGGAGAGATAAATAGATATACAATTGTATATTTGTACAACATCTGATTTTGCATAGTTTATAAGAACTTATTTCTGAGCATCCCTGTTTGAACTTACAAAAAGTCAGTCTAGCTCTTCCTTTTTCAATAGTCGCCAGCTGTGTTATTTCATTCATTCAGTTAATTTTTTCCATATTTAAATAGCTTGAGAGCTCTGTTAAGGTTTCATTCTGTTCAAAAATCAAATTCAAATTCTGATTTCTGCAGTGCCTGGCATTTCTGACTAGCACTTTAGTGACTAGCTCTGATCTTTTTACTAAAGAGTTTACACGACAGTTGCAATTTTAGAGGGAAAATAAAAATAAGCAAACAGCCTTTTCCCACTAACATGGCTGTTTACAGCACAATGCCGTTCTCGTCTTCATCTTCATGATACAGCCATGCAATTCTTTCTTCCCTTGTGGGACATTGGACTGCTTATCTAGAATATATTTTTAAGAGAAATAGTTGTCAGGAATTTTCATTACACTGGATACTATGTTTTTATAAACAGAATATGATCACTCTAAAAAAACTGATTTTGCTACTCAAGCTAGTTCAGAAAACAAAAGTAAACGTATCTGTTTTGATGTTTCTTCTTCAGATTTCACTTACTGGTTGTCATCAAGCAACCAGAAAGAAATATGGGATTGTAAAGTGAGGAAAAGCAGCCCTCACTGAAAAGCAAAAGATCCAGCCCAGGTCCTTTCCTTTGACTTCAGTACGATTTGACTGAGACACAGAGAGGCTATTATACAACATGGAAAAGTCCATCTTTATTCTAAATTTAGTTTGAACTACTGGTTCAAGACATTGGCCACAAGCTTTTCTGGAGCAGTCTGAAGATCTCATGACCAATGCTGTTACTTCTGTCTCTCCCAGATGTCTGTTACAGTGGGATAGAGTCTTTACTCAGTTTAGAGAAAATGAAGTGCTAATGCAGATCGCAGGAAGAAAAGTTTTATTTAAAGCATTTTGTTCCTCTTTGGAAGATAAAGCAGTAGATTTAAGTTAAAACTGCCAATATGAATCATGCTGAAGATTCACAACTCAAGCCAGCACTATCAGCCTTTTGCAGACTCATCCTTGGGCTTCTCTGAAGAGGTGGGAGAGTGGACAAATGACTGTAAGATCCTTGCCATGTTTAAGTTTTTCAATTCCATGTATTTCTCCATGAAAGGAGCTTAGAGATAACCTCAGCCGTGATTATTTGTCAGAAGGTTATGGTCATTTTTATGGAACATGTCTCTGGAGGCAGCTACCCAGTATGCTGATGCCTGTTCTTTTGTTCGAACCCTTTGCCAGTCGTTCAGCTCTGTGCTCCGAGGTTCATGCTGAGGCCAAAGACACTCCTTTCACCTTCCTGGAGTGAGCAGGTGACAGTGCCTGCGAGAGGATGCCTTGCCTGAGCTGGATAAAGCCTGAATGATTTTGTTTGCTCTTGGAGGATCTGCAAACATCTGCCTATCTAAAATGATTCCAAGGAGACCAGTAGTTTTACACAGAACCAAAGAAAGAATCTTATGTTATCTTATGTTGTACTTATGTTATCAAGCCACGAGTTAATCCTTCAAATTAGATTCTCATATGGGAGAAACCCACAGAAGAACCTAAGAGGGCTAAAATGACAGTAAGAATCTTTAAACCTTCTCAGCCATCTCATTCCCAGTTCCATCCTTTCTCGCTCTCCCTCTCCACTAGCCTCCTTCCTACCCTTTAGCCTATAGCACCTCCTGCTTTTTTTCCCCCACCAGTTGCTCAGCCACTTTCCTTCTTCTGTCTATTCCCAATCATCCAATTCTACCTACATTCAGTACAGGAATACATTCAGTATTCCTCTTTTCTTTCCTGCAGAAGCCCACCAGCAATAGAAATTCATGGCCATTTGGCAGGAGCGATTCAGGAAGGCCCTTTTATAGATGAAATATTGGTCCATTGATGACCCTGCAAGACTTTTTTCAGGTTACTGTGATGAAGTGTGGCTCATTACCAATTTCTGTGTCAGGTAAGCGGCTAGGTACAGTACAGATCCCACAGGATGATGGTTTCTCATTGGCCGCTGCCGTGGTTTCTGATGATGCTATTGCTTTGTGAGACTTAATCATGCTGTCAGCTACTAGCTGCTTGTCATACTGCTTATAAAAGCTCCTATCCCAAACGAGTTCAGCTTCCTCACCTTCTGTTAATACTGGATGATCGAGACAGGCTGGCTGCCTGCTTGCTTTATCTGGTTGCTGGCCGGTTCTCCTCAATCTGTATAATGTGTGAAAGCAGTACGATGTATGTTAAAAGTGATAGAAGCTTAGATTTCAGTAGATAAACCCTTCTGAGGTGATCTTGCAAGAGGAAAGAAGGAGGAGACACAGAACAAGAGGAGAATGAGTAGTAATCTGATGAAAAAACAATATTATAAGCAAATAAAGACATTTATTTCCCATTCTCTCTTTATGCCTTTTATTATTAGAATTGGCCAAAGAAAACATTTTGGATTATATGAAATGATGTTGCCAGCCACATAGATCTGATCACAAGTCATACAGTGCAAGCAATGACCTTTGTTTTAACTAACAGAAGGCAGAAACTAGAGTGACAGTATCACATCTGCACGTTTCATTTAATGTTTTTGTATGTCTCTGCTCTTTTTATGATGTGCTTTTACTAGTTAGAATGGGCTTAAAGGAGGGAAAAGAAACTGGTTTTTTTGTGCCTTTTGACTATCCCCAGGCTTGACTGGCCCCTGAATCGCAGTGAGTAGTCAAATCTTAGTACGGGATGCATTGTAATATTTCAACATTTTATTCCAAATTCTTCCTGCCTGGATTATTAATTTTTGGTGAGATGTGTTATCTGGACAAGCATTCCAGAGATGTGTCGTGGCCACGCTGATTGCTGGCAGCCCAGGGAGCTGACCTAGAGCATCAAAGCTAAGGGGAGTCTTGTCTTAGCTGCAGCAGGAAATTAAGCTTTAAAAGTACTAAGCTCCTGCCTATCCAGGAGACAAAATAACAACTTGTTTTATTCGTAAGAACAAAGGAAACTCTCTGGATCTCAAACTGAATATTCATTTAGATTGTGGAAGAAATGGGCAAGCTGAAAAAAAAAACAAACAGTGGATTTTCTTCTGGAAAATTTCCCTAAATTATTTCACATTTGGACTTCTGTCCCCATATGAGATGAAACATTTGTATGTGATTTTTTTTCCGTCACAGTAAAGAATATCCATTTTCCAGGCATCTCTGATAAAAATTATAATTTAATCTGCAGCTTTGATAGCACCAAAAGGGACGATTTGGACGAATATAATCTGTACTATCTCCTTTTCCTTACTGTGATCCATCAGTTCATTATGTCAAGGTCAAAGCTAAAAATTTTAAACTCTTTTTATTTTACAAAATGGAAAATGTCAGAAAATGTCAGGATTAGGAGCAGTGTTGACAGAATCGATGCTACAAAGCATCATTTATGAGAGCAGCGGAACATATAAATGCTATGAAGTTTAAAGCTTTTAAGAGAGGAACATGTTCCCCCTGCAACAGAGCAATATGCATTTATATTAATAACCTTACTAGGCAAGGTTTTATGGCAGCTCAGTTTGCTACCACCATATAAATCCCTCTGATTCAGATTTGTTTTGACTTCTTCCTTTCTCCAGTGCATTCCTCCTTTCCTGTGTTAGTAGCTAGAGATCAATTTAAGCAACCTTCTGCCCTTTGAACTCACATTCTCTCTGAACTCAAAGCAGTCTACAAGGTTTTTCCCCCGAATGCAGTGGTGCCGTGAATGGTAGCCACCTTTTGCCCACGGTGTCCTTTTGCTTTGGAATGTTCCTGCAATGAAAAAAAAATAGTTATGTTTTTTGGATGATATTTTGCTCTGCCTTATTGCTTGCCTTCAGCTCCTTAATTAAATTATCATAGTTTCTGTGTATTTTTTTTTTAAAAGCAATGAACTGTCTGAGTTCAGCAAAAGTCAACAGTAAACAAGTAAAGCAAACAGTAGTAGTAGTAGTAGTGGTAGACTTTTACTTTTGTTCCATTAAATACTTAAGCACATGCTTAACTTTACTTAGAATTTCAGTGAGAACTTAGCAAGTTCTTAAACATCTTTCTCGGTAAATTAGTTAATAAATTGAAAGTAAAGAAGACAGAGCCAGCCCAGAATTTTAAAGAGCACACCCCTTCTCTGCCACTCTCTCCAGCACAAAACCTGCAAAATAAACACATAGTAAAGCAGATGTCTGAATTCTGAACACAATATTTTAAAACATAACTGTCTGGCTGAAAACAGGGAAGGTGGCATTGGTCCCAGGAAATCTTTTTTTTAAGAGTGTTTTTCTCTCTACAATTTCATCCTGAATTAATCATAATTGATTTGCTGAAACTCTTCTATTCATTCAGCTTCTTCACAGCCTTGATGAATGACTCTGTCTCCTATTGGTTAACTAGTCAAGCGTTTCTTAGGCTCTGCTTTTCTG